TTTTGGGGGGGGGGGGGGGGGTGGACACTGCACACCTTTCCTAGCCTCTATCTGGTTGGACCATCCCTGAATCTTGGAGGAAGAGGGGTGCACCCTGCACCATTTGGCACCCCTCCCCCCACAACAAAACTCTGAAACCGCATGTCTGGTTTACAATAGGCAAATCTACTTGTATACCTACATATTTTTGGCTAAAAAACGATTTGCGATTCTTAAAGTGCAACTGTTGACCGGCGCAAATACATTGCACAGTCCACATGTGTGAAATATATAAAACGTATTGTGTTATTTATAGCTATATATTGGCCTTTGCCAATGTTATTTTGTTCAGATTATAAAGCATTTTAGCGTCTACACAAGTACATTTCGTGTATCTTGTAACGATATCTATATAATATAAAACTCTAAAGAGTTTCCAGCTACAATGATCACTTTGTATATAACTTTGTCTGCACCACTGCATATTTTAATTGCTCTCGTCCAAATAAATATGGCATCACAAACTCTCACCTTGGCGTGATATCCAGCGGAAACAACGGCTTCGCGACAACGAGGAATACTCCTGAGTATCCGAACACTATTCTTTCCCACATTTGACATCATATTTTTGCTGTTTTGCACAAGATTTTTCCAAAAAGGACACACAAATATTTCATGAAACGTGTTTTGGTGTTTACAACTTTTACAGCAAGAACCCAATTACCCACAATCCTTTACAACATTTATTCAATAATTACGTCATACTGCGTATTATCTGCACGTGTTTTATGCGTGATCATAACGTGACCCTCCTCCGCAGTCATCGCCTTTAGATTGGCGGGCAGAATTTGGTTGCGGGCAAAAAATGAAAAAACTTTATTTACTTAGTGAAGAACATTTTTCTCCCACTTCACTTCATCTACAAAGAATCAAACCAACTATACAACAGACTCTCTTTTACAGCTTGTGCTGGCAGGCATATTTTGACAAGCAATTAAAGGGTTAGAGATGAAATTATAATCAGACAACTGATTTCTTAGTTTTGCCTTTGGCATAATCGTTTCCATGCTGCCATCATGTTCCTAGCCAGTGCACTTATGAGGTGCATCCACCCCCTGAAAATATTAGAAAATGGCAGATGTTCAGGGGGTGAATCTCTCTCATAAGCACTGTCTAGGAGCATGGTGCCAAATGCATTTTGATGACAAATCATGGTGTGGCAACGGTTGCACTTTTTTGGCAAGCTTCTGTAAGGTTCACATTCTGTGACTGTACATTGCAAGAATTGATCCCACAGGAGGTGAAAGACACTCTCAATCTCTCATGCACAAAACACAGGGCTGTCAACACCAAAACAGCTATCCAAGGCCCAACTCGTTAGGTGCTGGGTCTTGCCCAGCACCTAACCTGCAAATGGGCATACTCTGGGTACTAATAATATTCAAAAGAACAAAACACAACAAAAACAGTATTCACTGATATTATTTATTAAGTTCACTTGACTGACATCACACATTCTTGTTACTTGCTGCTTGTGCTCTGAGTTTCTGTGAGGAAACAACAAAAACATATTACGTGGTAGTAATCATTGAAGTACACCTAAAAATCTTGAATTATTACACACTGTTATATGTAGACTTACTAGCAGCTTCTTCTTCTGCTCAAAGTACACAGCTGACTTGGCTTTGCGTTTCTCTTCAAGTGTCTTAATCACATCCTGACAAAAAAGAAAGTACATGAAAAAAACTGAACATTAAGAATAATGTAAATTTACTGTTTATTATTATTAACTCATTCATTTATGCTGCACCACAGTGTGCCCTACTTTACTCTTTGACTCTAATACCAAACAATTTCACTTGTAAGGGGAGAGTTCTAGTACACAATGGGTTAATCATAATAACAAACCTTATATTTCCAGCCAACTTCGTGAGAAAGTCTGCCTAATACACAAAACTGTAAAAGAACAAAACACAGTATACAATATAAATAATCTTTTAATTTAAAAAAATAATGATGATTAATAATCAAGTTTAGTGTTACCCTTCGACCAGGTTTCAATCGTATCACCCTCAAAGCTGATGGGACCACCATTCGTTTCACCTACGATAAAAATGGCTTCATTAAAATCTTGCACCAACTAAGTTCAAGATAGTCACAGCCATACTTAGAATGTCTTAATACAGGCATACAAGTTTGAACAGCCAAAGTAGTGCCCAATCCAAAATGTAGTTACCTTGTCATAAGGAGGGGGGACTCCATCAAAGACTTTCAAACGATTCATGGCCTCCATACCTCGCTTTGTTTTATGAGGTACCATTCCTAATAAAAGAACAAACAGATGAAATATTATTAAGAAAACATTATTAAACATTATTAATTAAAGTAAGAAAAAATTATTAAATTAAAAAATGAATATTACATTTAATTAAACACAAATCAGTTAGACTAACTCGAAGGCATTTGTTGCAGGGTTAGGGTGAATTTTAGGGTTTTATTAAGAGATTATGACACCGAAAGCCAAGTTATCACCCACAACAAAGGCCCCAGAGGTAATCAAACCCAACAGAAATCTACAAGTGATAATGCAGTATACCTCTAACTGTTCGCCAGAAAATTTTGCTAGGTGCACGGAAATGAAACGGACCACGAGATGGCTTTGTGTTCATTCTTTTACGCAGAAAATCCAAATATTTCACTAAATGAAATCAGAATCAATAGATAATTAGAACTAATTATTCATCATATTAGACATAAATTAAGAGTGATTATCTAATAGGATGCCATTTACTTAGGCCTTAGAAAACCTCGGATTGATAGCGATTCAGCTACCTGAAAATACAAGTAAAGGGCTCAAAACATTGAGGTTTTCCTTGTATTTTTCAGGTGTTGAATCCCTCTCAATCTGCAGTTTTCCAGTGTTTTTGCACTGCCTACACTGGCAGACTGTTCAAGTTACCATTTACTTACGCTTGTTTCTGTAGAAGTTCCCACTGATGTTTATCTGTTCACATCGTACTACCACAATTCGTTGGCCTTTGGTGAGGTATAGAAATATAATATTACACTTAACATTTCACTATGCCTTGAATGAAACAAAGATTTTGCACTATGCCTTAAATGAAACAAAGATTGAATGAAACAAAGATTGAATGAAACAAAGCACTATGTTCAGTACTCACCAGACAAGATAGACTTCGCAACTGTAGAGGCAAGACGCCCCAACAGATGTCCTGAAGCATCAATCGTTATTTGCTGTAAAATTTAATACAATTTTATATAGCAACTCAAGTTCAATAATTTAACCCTTTAAGTGGCAATGCACCTACTTCAATATTTTACTCTGTTTAACCTCAGGGGGCTATTATTCAAATTAGCACCAACTATGAGTTAAATTTAAGGCATTGTTTTGATTTATCTATACATTCTGTTCTGAAAAAATATTTCCAAGTTTAAGCTGCTGGAAGTATTCTTTGAATTTCAACATTAACCCAGGGTTAAGCTAACCCGTTTTTGAACAACTGCCTCCAGATGATCTTACTCATCGAGGGGAAAGCTGCCACTTGCTGGGATAATCAAACTGTTAACCCTTTATGTGGCAATGCTCCCTGACGCACCCTACATTATTATGTCTGATACAGGGTGTCCACCCTTTGGTGAAGGTGAAATTCAAGGACTTTTCCAGGATTTTCAAGGCCCTTTTTCAGTAAATTCAAGGACCTAGAACTGGGAAAAATCTTTGAAAATGGCACGGATTTGCTGTAAATAATTCACTTTATTCAGTAATTTTAATCGAAATCACTAATGTTGGCAGAGCTGGAGGTTAAGGAAATTAATTCCAGGACTTTCAAGGACTTCTAAACTGATTTTCAAGTACTTTCTAGTCCTGGAATTTTTTCAATTCAAGGACTTTCCAGGATAATTTTTCAAGGCCTGTGGACACCCTGCTAATATGTAATACATTATTATGTTTCTACGGGTTAGTATTTAGACTTTGTTCATCAGGCTTTTGGAGTATTGAAACAACACTGAATATCATCTGATATAAACATATGGAGAATGGATGTTTAATTTTGCTATTTTTATACTTCACAATATGGTGCATATGCAATTGAATTCTTTCATGATAGCATATTGCAATCAATAACACATAATATTATTAAAAAATACGCTTATTCATAGAAATTCTGAGCAATTCGACTAAACAAAACCTCGTGTACTATAAAGTCAAGGATTTAATATAGAATTATAGTGCTCTAAATCTCTAGAATAATCATGTTTAACTGGGCAACTAAATGCATTGGTAGTTTGATAACTTTAATTTGTTAGTTATCCAGTTAAAATATCATCAAAAATCGTCTCAGAGAGGGAGTAAAATGAAAATATTTTCACGTTCGAGGCAACACGTTACCTTCTCAAAACCCATGTCGGAAGAAAAAGAATGAACATCTACTGCACATGCGCACTAGTTCCAGTCTCTCGTAAACGCGACTTATTTATTTGGCGGAATTTATTCCAGAATTTTTTGTCTGGTAATTTTTATCGCGGCCGTAATGGATGTTTTCGTCAATAGCGACGCCATTTTGAATCATGATGCATTGTGGTCTAGTTGCGCATTACCGTCGTGTGCAACTACACATGAACACTCGCAGATGAAAGTACTGAGTATGTATGTTTCATATGCCTAAAACAATGAATTTGAACAATATTTGTCATACACCTAAGTCTAAATTCTCAACAATATACACCGCTTCTCCATCAGTCCCACAGACTAAATTTTGTCCAGTTACGTCCATAGAGTTCACCGCCGAACGATTATATGGCAGCAAGGAAAATGTCTCAATCTTATGTTTACTCGCATCCGCTGACAACCACGGTGTGGGCACATTGCTTGCGTCAACCCCATTCTGTGTCGTCACGGCACTGGGGTTGAGTAACCGACTAATGTCCATGGATGGTGTTTTCATAGATGAGCCATTCCATTGCCACACGGCACCATCTTGAGAGCATGTGAATAAATGGTCTGGGTTTGCAGTGTAGAACATAACATCCCAAACTAGAAAAAAATAATGAATGTCTAGTCACTATATTGTATTGCATTGTGTCACTCTGCACTGTAAATTGTTCGATTTGTATTCTTTCCAATGTATTAAAAATTCAGCGGCGGCTAAAAAACCAGAACAAAAATTATCATACTTTCAGCTGAGTGTGCTTCCAGTAATGTTACTGGATATCTGTCTTGCCTCATATCCCACAGACCAAGAACACCATCCTGGCCTCCAGTCACAATCAGGTGTGGTTGAGTTGGATGCTTGTCAATGCATAGCAAAGGAACGCGATCTCCACTCCTGTCAAATATAATCGTTTTACATAAGCTTTTTATACTGGATAGTGGTTACACTGAATGGATAGAGGAAACCCTGAGTATCCAGAGGAAACTTTGGGCGTTTGCCGGTAGAGTCAAACTGGTTACTGGAAGCATCTCCTCACATTAGGACTGAGGCAAAATTATAACCAAACAACTGTATTCTTGGCGTCACCATGGCCATGTTGGAGGAACACTTAAACAAAAGAATATCACTAGCAGCTATTGTGTTTGTTTCATCCAACATTACATGGCCACCACATCTTGACTTTGTCTTATAAGTCTAAAGGAATTGTTCTCAAATCACCAATTTTGCAGGATTCAAACCTCATGCACATGGATTAACCACCGTTTCTAAGCTGGCCGCAAAAAAATGGTCACAAGAACGTACAGAAGCATTGCCCGGACTGGTTTGTCTCCTTTCTGTCTCAGATCCCAGACTTTGACTTGACCAATGAAGTTCACAGTTGCTATCTCATAAGATTTCACAAACGTAACTCCCGAAATAGTTGTACTGTCAGCCGACTCTGAAAATAGAGATGTTAAATAATATTAGATATACCTTGCAAGCTGAGTCTCATTTTTCCTGAATTTCAATAACCCAAAGACTTATATGGTTTAGAATAAAACAAAGTAGCTACTGTAAGCCAAGTGTAAGCATTAGAATTATGTAAGAGTTATTCACACTTGTTCATAGTTCTAATGGTTAGATACCATTGTGCCGTTCTATGCTTGCGTAAACTAAACATGATACTTATTACAATACAAACCTACAAGGAATTCATTCTGTACCTATAGTTCTAACAAGTTTCTGATGGTCCATTCTTAATACAACAATCCTTCCATCTTCACCAACACTCACAAAGTCTGGCATATTGGGGTAGGTAGCCAGAGAGGTACATGAACAGTTGGATGTTCCGTTGTAATGATGAAGTCCAGACCAACTATGTAATATTGATAATGTCTGTGGAAATGATATAATTTTAAGTTGATTTAAGCTTGTTTTTCACCAGGTAAGTTTGTTTGCACAAAGTGACTTTTTCCTTTGTCTGCATCGCTTATGACTTCAGGAAAGGTGATGCTGACAAAGCAAAATATTGCTTCATGTGAACAATGTTTTTTGTGAGTCCTTACCCCTCTTTGACTGTCATGTTTGTGTAAGGTAACATTGCCACTTGAAGAAGATGTCAGGATTCTATCACCATCAATGTACTGTACAAGAAACAAAATATTGTATTCCTTCATTCGCAATGCACTGGCCATTTAAATTCCTCCCCCCTCCTTGCCTCGCCCCTACCACAGAGTACTTGCATACAGAGGTCTTACTTCTATGGGAAAACCATAAGGTACCTAAAAAGAGGCATTGACCCCCTCCCCCGCAACATTAAATTGCAATGTTTTCAGGGGGGGTGACAGCCTGTCTTTAGGGCACTAGCTAAGAATATGGTGGACTGAAAAAATCCCTTTTGCTAAATTAACCTGAAGTGAGACCTCTGTATGTAAATACTCTGTGTCTCTACTCTCTACCCCTTGTCACAGAATAAGGTACACAGAAGGCCGACTTCTTGGTTTTTCCTATGATTTTCCTATGATTTTGGCATAACCTGTAATTCGTCATCAAATGCTGACGCCATGGTCCTAGCCAGTGCACGTTTGAGAGGCATTCACCCCCCTGATATTATTCAAAATGGGTGAACATCCAGGGGGGGAATGCCTCTCAAACGCGCACTGGCTAGGACCATGGCGTCAGCATTTTGATGATGAATCATGGCGTGGCAGTGGTTACTCGAGTCGACCTTCTGTGTGCCTTATTCTGTGCCCTTGTGCTACCACTGACATGACTGAAGGCGCTATCAACCTTAATATCTGTGACACTTCCTTCATGTTCAACAGCGCTAATCAACTGAGGTTCTTCAAGTAGATTGCTTTCCATTGACATTGCAGTACCATCATCTTCCAAACCTTCTGTGCTCCATAAACATAACTGATTCACCTGTTCGTGAAAATACTTATATCAATAGACAATATAGATACATTTATACATAATTTATACTACCCCTTGGCCCTTGTCAGTCTCCCACTTTACACCCAAGCAAGTTCATAAACGCTTTAAAACTTACATTATTGTCCCAGCCACCACTGGCAAAGATAGTTGAACGTCTGAGATGAGAAGTAGGTTTCCATCTTACTTTAGAAACTTTCTGACCAACATAGTGCACTGTTGCGCTGGTCGCCATCTTGAATTTTCAACTTCAGTCACACATATAGGCACAGAGTAGATACTGGACAGAGGTGTAACTGTATTACGAAACGCTAATGTTTGAGTGTAACCAAAAGCTTAGCCAGTGCGCTAAGGAGAGGCATTCACCCCCCCGAAAACATACAAAATGGCGGGCATTTTTTACTAAAAAGATCGCAAAAAATTGTTTCGAAATCAAGGATATTGTTTGAAATCTCGCTGATTTTTGTTGAATTATTTTTGTTTTCAAGTTTGCCTATGGGAAGAGGTAAATCTGGGAGAGATTTGCAGTTTCTTTTTCTTTTTTTTCAACAGAATTGTTTTCATATGAGCGGGAATTGTAAATATTTTGCCATATTTTGGTTTATGGGCTTAGCCTGCTTGGCTAGTTTAGCTTTAATATACCTGTAAATTTGTGTAAAATATCGTGGATCTTTTGTGGAAAGGAAGAAACTTTGCTTGACAAAGAATTTGGTTGACAAACGGCAAAAGTTTTCTATCTTAAGGTACGGTGTGAATCTTTTGACTATTAAAAACTTAACAATCTTTAATCTGATACTCCTAAATCAGCTTACACTATACTAGGAGAAATATTAACACATTCATGCTATTTTTTGCTATTTGTCTGATAGTCAGGAATTAAGAGTGCAGGGGGTTACATTAGCAATTGTCATGTGAATTCAGAATATAGTTAATGACTTAATCTGTTTTTTACAACTTTATACTGATATTTTTATACAGTGGTATGTAGGCCTACTGTAGTTCACTAAGTTCAGTAGTTCCATTTTAATATAAGCATTCAGCTCAATCAGCTGTGTCTGTGATTTATATATTTTGTTGCTATTTTGGCTGTAATAACACTGTTGCTTGTGAATGCTAATAATAATTGGAATTTAACAGATGCTTAGTTTATTTTATTGTATGTATGAAATAATATAGTGACATTCTTTTCCAAAATAATTTCTATATGCACCAATCATGTTAAGCATGCACCTAGATGGGAGGACAGGCTACCCATGGCTTTGTAATAGACTAATCAAGTAATAACTAATGCCTGCCCAAGACACAGCATTTTTGACAATTTTTCCCATTTGTAGACTGGGCAAGTTATGATGAAGAAGCAAATGATGATTGGCAAATTTGATAAAAACCCAAATATTTTTCAGTGTTCAGTATTTAAGTAGTGATTTTGGGTGAAGACCTTCAAAACATCCTGGAGTTTCCAAAAATAATGTTTTTCATTGGCTCCCCTGGAAATATTTTCCAAGAGATTTTTGCAACCAGCTCCCTGGAAATGCATAATACAGTTTTTAAGCCAAATATTTGGGTGACAACATTCCTTTGAAATGGATTTTTATGTCCCTTTTAAGTTCCAAGGTCTTCACCCCCTGGGTGTATTGATTAAAAATGCTAGCAAGATTGTTGGTCAACCTTTTATTTTTGTACTCAAAATAATTTTCCCCATGTGCATATAGGCATACCAGATAACTTCAACCTGTACATGCATGGGTTGAGGGTGAATTAATGGTTGAATAAACATTGGACATTTTCACTGACACTGTTAAAATTCTTGAGCCATATGCACCATAGAAGCAACTAATAATGTGTGAGTGTGACAATTTCACTTCCCCTGGAGGTAGAAGTGAGGCTATAGGCCAGAGTGTCAGAGGTGAATCTATAGATTCAGGTTTTTGTTTCCTGTAATGTAGGTAATAATAAGCCATTGGATTCTACATCAGCTGCATGTAAAGGCCCTCCTGAAGAATTTTTCCAGCCCCCAACTGTTTACCTCCAGTTTTTTCAGCATAGATTATCCTACATGTATCAGTGTTAAGCCCCGGAGTGTCAGACAAATAATGGTAAAATATGAACATTTGATAAATGTGGATATATTGAAGACTGAAAAATACACTGTTTACATCAATTGTTTGAATGTTATATTTTTCTTCGATTTCTACAATTCAATGTTATCTGCTGTTATAAATCATATTCTATTTTTGCCTCCATATTCTATTTTTGCCTCCATATTCTATTTCTGCCTGCAACTCTGTATTGTTTTGTATAACAAATTTTCAACTCTTATTTGTTTTGTATTGTAAATGCATTTTGTATTATTACAAAACAATACAGAGTTGCCTATTATACAAAACAATACAGAGTTGCCTGTGGAAGAGGCTAATTCTACTTAAATATTAACCCAGAACTCTCTCCTTGACAACTAAAATCATCTGGCATTAGACAGAAAATAATAAAGTAGGGTGCAATGTGACTCCATGGGTTAACTAGACACATCATGGGCAGATAGGCCAGTTAACCCACTAAGTACCAGAGGTTTCCCCTTGATGAGTAAAATTGTATAGCATTAGACATAGTAAAATAATCTGGTGTTAGACAGAGTAAAATAATAAAGTAGGGCGCATCAGTGCACAATGCGACTCAATGGGTTAGAGATGAACAGACGGTAAGTCTGTTCTGCACATATGTAACCTTCTGATGTAAACAATTGGTAACATCAAGGTGTTATACATAGGGTTATACATGGTGGTCAACATTACATGTATCAACACTAATGACTTGGGGAGCGAGCAAATGAGGCTAAATTGCATGTATTCGCCAGCAAACATGAGGTCAAGACATATCATAAAACTTTACTCACACCGGTAACTGTGTTTCCTTTTAGAGTTGACCACCATGTGCCGAGATGTTGCATCACAACACATGAAAGTAAAGAATACCCAACTTTCACATTGTTTCAGCATCTCATTCAGAAACTCTAATCAAAATTCATTTAAAGAACAGCAACCTGAACGATGTGAAATATGAATTATGTACATCATATTTTTTTTTAATATAGCGTGTTTAAAATGTAAAAAAACCAACATCCCTCACATTTTATGCTTTTTATCACTATTATAAACAGGGTGCCATACTGCTATAGTTTCAAATAGTGAAATCTTGACTGATTTCTGCCTAAGTATTTCACAAAATATTAAATACAACGATATCCAGCTGCACATAAGTTATTATACCATTTACATTTCTTCTAAATCCTTTAGACATGGCTCACATGAGTATTAATTTCTCGGTAATTTCGGAATTTCAATTTTCCACTCCTACGATGAATAACAGTGCCATATAAATCGGTAGATAATCTTCAAAGGTTTCTCATACCAACACATCTTTCAAGGACGAATTATATAAACATGTTAATAACAACTTTAGTAAAGGAAAACTGTTATGAGCAAAATAACAAGTGTTTCTCGTGCCGATTATTTTCTGAAACATTCGGGCGCCATCTTGAAATTTGAGTTCGGGGGGGTGAATGCCTCTCTTTCGCGCACTGGCTAAGCTTTTGGCGGCCGGTTACACTTTTTTGGCTGAGTTCCACCTCTGTGTACACGGCTAAAAACGCACAGGTTGTTGCAAGTTGATATCGACAGGCGTGAACAATGTTGTGCGGCCAACTATGAACAAGTTGTCAACCATGTTGTTCCAAGTTGTTACAGTTGAACAATGTTGTAACAACATGTTGACAATACTGTTCATAGTGGGCCGCACAACCTTGTTCACGCCTGTCGATATCAACTTGCAACAAGTTGTTGATTTTCTCAATTTTTACGCGTGTAGTATATCTACTCTGTGATATAGGTCAGTGTTTTACTTTTGGCGCGAAATAAGGCGGGGAAATTTAGGGTGTTGACCATCTATATTGCAAATTTCAAATTTGCGCTGCAAATATTTTTCAATAAGAATTTTATTAACAATCTGATTTTTCCTTTGGTTAGAAGATTTCTAAGATCTTTTTGCATATCTAAAACATGCATGCTTTGAAAAAATATAAAATTTGTCCACAGCCCGCGTTGCAGGTTGTTAACTTTCTGAAAATTATAAAAACAAATATGGCTGACTCAAGTGCTGAAAATGACCCCAGTATTTCAGACGATAGCAAAGCATTTAAAGTGAAATTTGCGTTTCTGTTTGGAGTTACATTTGCATCGGTTATCGGGGGTTTTGGTTTGGCTGTTGGTGTAACCCGAAGACGATCTCCAACGTCGTTTTCCGGCCAGGTTCACGACGAAGGAGCGAAGCTAGCTATGCGAGCCTTGGGTTGGGGGACAGTTATATCTGTCAGTGGGGTAGCGGCTATTGGCATTGTTGGAAAATCTGCATACGAGTTGAAAAAGGTAATATTCAAAGGAACAATGGCACAACTATAGATCCACTAAGACAAATTTGTTAACAGTCTAAACACGTTCGGATTATTCAACCAGTATTCTTTTTAGGTTGTTTTCAGGTAATCTGATACAGAAAACTGACATCAAAGAATACAGTTGCAAGTGTTCGGGCAGTTGAGAAAATACAGTCTCGTGCCCAATGTCGGGACTTCTGAAGCACATTGACTGACATTTGAAAACACATGTATAGTTTCTTTTCAAAAATTTGTTGTACACTTTTTTTGATAATTTACGTTAGCGAGCCTCATTTTCATGAATCGTGAACTACAATCGCCTTCCGTCTTCATTCATGAGAGCGAGGCTCCCAGGCCAATAACGTATTCATGACGTAATTATCGAAAAGGTGTGTTGAGAATATCTTGAGACCAAAGATTACGTACAGCAGCCCAAAAATGTGTGTAGGATGCCTATGGATTAAGTGACTGCATATCAGACAAATATCTACATGGTTATCTGGAAATATATGGTAGTTGTCATTCATTAGGCCAAAAAAAAAAATATGTGGGTTTCCGGTTTCTTCTTATAAAAACTTAGGTAGGGTAGGTCGGTTTTAACTTTTTTTTTTAAACTTTTTTTTTAATTTTCCGAATAAGCGGACGCCATTTTGTTTAGTCGGTGCTTCCACATCCAAAGATAAATTTCCCTAATATTGCCTCAAATTTCAATTTTCCACAAACTTTTTCCTCTAAGTGGAAACACTTACAAGCATGATCCAATAAAAAAGTTTAGGGTCGGCATTTCGACGTCGAAAAGCTAGGTAGGGTCGGGAAACCGGAAACCCACATATTTTTTTTTTGGCCTTATTATAGATGCAACTCGAGAATAATGTAAATATACGAATTTCATGTATGATTAATAAAAGTTGCAATTAAATCCACAGAATTAATATATTCAAAAGCATTGTACATTTTTAAGTTTTTGTCATTCAGTTTGTCATATTTGTGTTAATTCGAGTAAATCTTTATAAAGCACTTATTACTCCACATTTCCACTAAGGTAGCGTGGCCGAGTGGTCTAAGGCGCTGGTTTTAGGCACCAGTCATTTCGATGGCGTGGGTTCGAATCCCACCGCTGCCAATATTTTTCTCTTTTTTTCTTACGTTTTTAGATCAAAATCTTGAACTACCGCCATCCACAATACATAAACTTTGTATTAAACCATCAGAAATAATATTTCGAGTGATTAGAATTCCGATTTATAGAAAATAATTGTGATTTAACAACCTGGAAATCGGGCAAACCTGAGGGCAGTCTAGCCCGCAACATGTTGTGGCATTGACCTGCATGTAACACTGGATTTACTATTGAGTGGATTTCAAGGAAAATATTTTAAAAATTCATTGCGCCACAGAGTAGTAGATACAGAGTAGATGCATACAGAGTTGGGACTAGTGTGCCCACTTTTTTGTGCACATGCTCCTGCAATCTGCTTGCAGAACTTGCCGAGCATGTGCAGTTAATCATTTTTTCCCCAGCTGCCTGAAAAAAGTAGGTACATGAAAACATACGTTTCCGCAGTGTTTATGACAGCCAGTTACAACTCTGTATTGTATCTACTCTGTGATTGCATCCTATTTTTTTACTCTGTTCAACGGCAGACAATGGGTTAGTCATAAATCTGTTAGCTATCTTTTTGGTCTGCTGTTAGATGGGTTAAAATAACAAAGTATGGCAGATTAGTACACATTGAGCATGAGCTCTCTCTTTCCTTGACAAGTAAAATCATCTGGCATTAGACAGAGTAAATTACAAAGGTAGGTCATGTTGGATGCAATGAAACTTGACGGATTAAATAAGTTGGAAAATGAGAGTAAAACTATACTAACCCTTTTGCAAAAACATACTCCCTTGGAAGTAAATAAACAAGAAAAAAATAAACAAGAAAGCTCACAAAAAGAAATATTGCTGTTCCTTTATTTATTAAACAATATCATACTGTTAAAACATTTTAAATTTCAATGTTTAACCTTCTCAGCCATGCGTCTGTCGCGTTCTTCAGCAATGGTTAACCTCACACCCTTGCCTCGTGGCAGAGATACCCACTCCTTGTTGCCTTTACCAATGATAAATACATTGCCCATTCGGGTCGCAAATTGATGGCCTTTGCCATCTTTCACATGCACAATGTCAAATGAACCTAGAAATACAAAATAAAACAATGTCATACAATGGACTTATTACCTAATGAACAAAATTTTGATCTTGACAAGTCTAGACAAAAATGTTATCACAGCTTGAAAGAGTATCACAAAAATTAGTAATATTCCTTAGTTTCACTGCAAAATGTTGTAAAATGCTGATAATATAGCCCTGTGAAGTTTGCCGTTTTTCAGTCATTTTGTATTACGCACAGGAAATTGATACCGCTTTTTGAAAAGAGTATCAATTTCCCGTGCGTAATACAAAATGACTGAAAAACGGCAAACTTCGCAGGACTATATTATCTGCATTTTACAACATTTTGCAACGAAACTTCGGAATATTTATTTATTTATTTATTAATTTATTTATTAACTTTACAACCATACATAAAATAGACTAAAACACTACATAATATGGTTGAAGGTATGGTCAACAGGACATGAATAGCCCCATATGAATAGCCCCATATTACTAATTTTGTGATGAAATTTTTATCTAGACTTGTCTAGATCAAAATTTTTTCTTCATTAGGGAATAGGTCCATTGAAAAACTTTGGAATGATAAGGATGAAACTACCTGAAAATACAAGGAAAATACGAGCAAATGCCTCTGTCGGGAAGTTAGTTATGTTTCGTTTACCAGATGTCCAAGTTTGTTTGCATACCTGCATGTTTTTCCCTGTGTGTGATAATGCCCACACGTCCCATGTTACGACCACCAATGATCATAGCCAAATTTCCATTATCAAATTTAACATAATCCTGTATCTTGCCAGTCTTGATGTCGACTCTGACAGTATCGTGAACACCCAACGCTGGATCTGGGTAACGGATGGTACGCCCATCATGAGTAACACAGTATGGGACACCTTTCGCACCAACAGCCACTCTCTTAATTCGGCACAGCTTGTACTGAAAAGAATGTCAAAGAGTCAGCAAAGGTTTCTATGGGTGTGAAAATGTTTCTTGGAAGCTAGCTACCAACCTTGGCCTCGTCACTGTGAATTCTGTGAGTTGCAAAGCGTCCCTTGACATCATAAAGAAGACGGAAGTTTTCTCCTGTCTTTTCAATTGATATTACATCTTGTTAAAAAAAAATAAAGATTTACAACATTGAACAATATGTTTTGGGCATGAAGGAAATTCAGTTTAAAAGAAACAACCACCAAATGCACAATAACAGCATACCCATGAATCCAGCTGGAAATGTGAGATCAGTTCTAACTTTCCCATCAACTTTGATTAGGCGTTTCTTAACAATTTTCTTGGCCTCATCACCGTTAAGAGCATATTTGAGACGATTTCGCAAGAAAATAATCAAAGGCATACTTTCACGTAACTTGTGTGGGCCTGGTGATGGTCGTGGTGCCTAGAAGGTATACACACATCAGTGAGTAAATTGTATGCAATTAGCCATCCACAAAAGATCAACACTTCCCCTACAGCTTGGTTATATCTTCCAAATTTCCTCTGTGGGTTAAGGGTGGATGCTTTCTAGAATGACTGAATATCTTTGTTAACAAGCTTTTGTTACAACCGAGTTAATCACAACCATCTCCTGCTATACACCCTTCCCGAAAGTATATCACTTTGGCTATACAGCCTCGTTTTCATGTATGTGATGTTAGTCCAACCATATAACATATGCTTCTATCACGAAAACAAGTGTGCATAACCAAAAGTGACATATTTTCCAGAAGAATACTCTGGGCATACAGATTGAAAACTTTGCAAAATATATATTAACTATGGCGTTTTTCACAAAATATGGCAAATCTATCACCACAAAATCTCAAATACAAGCCAGATTAGTATATCTTATATTTTTATATCAGTTTCAAAACAAACCAAATTTTATATGATATACTAAACCTGAAATTCTGAAAGCCAAAGTATACTTATTTATTTTATAATATCTTAGCATTATCTGAAATTATTCCAACTAGTAATAACACAAGTCAACTTACGAAGGCTCCACTCAGTTTATCTAACATCCAATGGCTTGGCGCATTGAGGCGCTTTAGATGCTTCTTCGGACCGCGAGGCTACAAAATAAAAGCATACACGAACTCTTCTACTAACCATTATCCATATTTCATCGAAATAGCAGTTAAAAAGAGTTTATTTTCCATCAGATTGAAAGGATATAAAATATATGCACTCACCATCTTGATTTGGAAGCAAAAGAAAGAACGATCGATTTTAAAAGTCTTCCCAAGATGCAATCTCGTCGCAGAGTATGCCCGTTCGCAGGTTGGGCAGCTGGCATCCAACCTGCGAACAGGCATATTCTGTATATTTAGATTGCCCAAGATGCAATGCGCGCACTACTACCAACCACTTTGAACTGTGCGAATGTACAGCGGCGTTCCGCGAAAGGAGTTTGTGTATGGTTTAGCGCAAAAGCACATGTCATGATTGTCATCGAACAGTGACACTGTTTATTTATAATATGGGTTATTTTCAGCCCCAATTTCAGCCCAGCATCTGATCTATGGAAATGTGAAATCAATCATGATTAAATTAAACATGAATAGTTGTATAAAATGTCATATGAAACCATGAGTACAGCATTCTCACAAAACATCCTGGAAATGTATTAATATAAAACGTTCTATTTAACAGTGAATACATGAATACAGTCATAATATTTACAATAAACTAAAGATATATTATGAATAAAACTGCACTCCATCACTACCCCCCAACATTGCTAAGCACTCAATACCATTTCATGGTGAACATTAATAAAAGACATCAATCTGAGTGCACAACATTCTTTGAGTATACATTTGTTTTACGTGACTGTTTTGAGACTCTCAGCATATACCATGTTGTTATATCTGTCACACCCTCACTTTTAACATTAACATTCTTCTTTAATAATAACAGACAAAAGCTTCTGACAGTTCTCTTTCAACTCACTATCTCCATTCTCCAATGGATTGGGTTCCTGTTTAACTGCCAACAATTCTGCAGGTTTCAAATCCTTCTCAAAATCCACTGGGAGATTGGTAGTTGCTATACCCATCTTCCTATCTTTCTGTCGTCGATTACAAAACCACACACGGATAACCTCTTTATCGAGTTGCATCTCAGCTGCAATTTTACCTATTTCTTCACTCTTAGGCTTTTTGTCAACGGCATAATGGCTTTCCAAAACTGCTTTCATAGTAGCATCTATGCTCATTCTCTTCTTTCGTTTTCGAACTCCGCCATCACCAACCTTCTCTGTCGCATCTTCTAGCCACTTTTCTAGTAGCACCTTTAATGAACACATCTTCTTGAAGCTAAGTTGAAGTACTTCGAAACGACATATTGTCGTCTGACTGTACATATTTCCGTAAAGTGTACCTAAAGCTAAACCCACTTCTTCCTGAGTAAAGCCAAGGGCAATCCGTCGCTGTTTAAAGAACTTGGCAAAGGCTTCAATATCCATTGCCGTATTGAATCTGGAGATAGGGGGACTAATTTCTAACTGGGGGGATGAGGTGTTAATGGGGGTTGGAATAACTGGTTGTGTATTTGGAAGGTTGTGTGTGAAAACACCACCTGGTGTGGCAGAAGAAGAATTCTGGTCCATAGTCTGTGGTTGGGAGGTGTTGGTAGGTGGGTTGATGGGATTAGTCAGGTCTGGTGCATCCACATGGGTGGGTGAACCAAGCTCAGAGGTGGGTGTTACAGGGTTAGGGGTGACAGGGTTAGGTATACTACCCTGGGCTGCGAGTGAGAAGACATATTTGAGGGTATGATGTTGGCCTTCTGTAGCAACTGATACAACATTGAATAATTTACTTTCGGTAGGTATTGATTTGCAGTCAGGTGTGGTGGGGGTCATTGCTGCCGTGCTCGATGTAATATCAAGGATAGTTGTAGCAGCATTGAGATCAAGAGCCATTGATGTTGGGGTTGCCAGCTGGGAAGAATCAGAGAGATTAACCTTTGGGTTGGATTCACGTTGTGCTGGAACCATATTATTATCTATTGTTGTTGTATTGCTGGTCGTCATGGTAATGACAGGTGTTAGCATACTTGATTGAATGGGAAATGTGAAGATCCTGGAAGTTGGTGCGATTGGAGCCTTTTGGACATCTGTATTTTGGGTCTGAATCTGAGCCATACTTGATCTGCAAGGTTAGATGAGAACTTCAACATAATATTGTCCCTTAGGCCTAAAAAAAATACCTGTGGTTCCAGTTCCCGACCGACCCTATTTTTTTCTGCCGACCCTATTTTTCAATGCGATTGACCGTGCAACCCTATTTTCTCCGGTGATTGCGGGCTGCTGCCAAAATGGCGTCTGTTGTCAGACTAATTATTGAAAAAACCATGAAAAAATATTCAAAAAAAAATTATTTCCAACCTACCAACCCTAATTTTTTTCGCGATAAGAAACCGGAACCACAGGTATTTTTTTAGGCCTTATTGATACATAAATACTAAACTTGGACCAAGTTTTAATATCCAATAATAATGCCCTATAGTTTTCCCTAAGTGTGTAAAATTGTTTGCATCCATCAGGGCACATTGCCCCAGTGAACGCCAGTGCTCTCACCTTGATGAGTAAATTTGTCGGGCGTTAGTAAAAAATAATAAAGTAAAGTGCATGAGGGCACAATGAAACTTAATGGGTTAAGATCAACCACATTAATTGGGCCTATTGTGGCTTATTAACACATTTTGTCCATAGTGGAAAGTACGCTTTGGCTGCCACAAGTCCATACAACCACACCAGGGTGAAATACCATACCACAATACCATTGACCACTTTGACATCTCACACTTTAGCCAATTAACTATAAGATGTTTATTCGTTGCCATTTGGTCCATTTCACAGTTTATTGCTGCAAAACCCTGCCACAATGGCAATATATTACAATTTATCTGCTTCCACACTCTGCTACATTAAGGTGATTAAGCCTGGTTTCCAGTATGGTAGTAACTGTTGTGAACATGTCGCCAACATGTCCCGAACATGTTGTGAAATGTTTGTTGTGAATGATTATTATGCATGTTTCCATATGGTTTTAAATGCTGTGACACTGTTGTGCACTGTCGCAAGTTAATTTTGTACCCAGGGATCATACAAGCAGCTGGCAGTCCAGTTTAAAAAAGACAAACACGGTCCCCCCCCCAAAGGGGACCTTTGCCCCCCGATTGTCGCAAAACTGTTGCCACAATGTCGGTTTCCTGTTTCCATTAAAACATGTCACGACACGTTTTTAGCCTGTGAAACTGTCGTCGAGATAGAACTTGAGTCTATCTCGACGACACTGTTGTAACTGCCGTGAACTGTTGCCAGTGTGTTGCAACAAGACTTCATATTTCCATTTAGTCGCAAACACTACTCTGGTCAACAACAACTGGTTACAACACGTTCGCAACATTTACAACCATATGGAAACCAGGTTTGAGCAACTTTCAACATTCACTGCAGTTAGTTTCACTTTACAAAATTTTAATGATGTAATTTTGTATCTCCATGCTCGATTACTCATGATAAGGCAGTATTCAGCAATTTATACCAACGTCAAATCAACTGTAAATATTCAAATAAAATAGCGCGAAATATGGAAATTATTCAAAACAATTTCCACTCACACAAAATAATGGAAATGTAACACCGAGAAATATTGTAGATAATCTAAATATCCCAAATTTTATATCAAAACCCGGTAATTTTATTGCATTACTTTAAAATGTACAATTATACGTACTTGTTCCGACCAAATTCACTCGACTGTTTCGAAATCTGGTTTATAAAAGGGTGATAAAAGCCACAAATGTTCTCGCAGAATTAAAACGCACACACGCAAAAACCACCACTACAGAATACTGGATTATATACAGCTAGATTTGCTTCAAAAAACGTTATAAAAACATAAACTTTGGTTCGATGGAATGGATTATAAAAATTCACGTTTTTCCAGAATTTATTTATGTAAATTTTATGCACGCTTTGGGAAGCCGAAGCGCCTGCAATGCACGAGTAGATTACTTGTCAGCGTTATCGTGTTCTGCTGAGAACTTCATGTAGTATACAATACAATCAGAAAATTAAAAATTTATTTTATTGGGTAAATCATTACACTGTAACAGCGCAACTTGTCTCGCAATTTTGCAAGTTTTCAGATGGTATCAACTATTTCGCTGACCTCAGAATGACATTTCGTCAAAAATTTTTTCTTCAAGATTGGTTTAGAAACAAATTTGGCATAGCGTTAGTTTGGGGTTAGGGTTGGGATTAGGGTAAGAGTTGGTGTTTGGAGTAGGGTTAGTGTTAGCAAAACAGTTGCTTGGTTTAAGTTTTGTCACTCTGAGGCCAGCGAAATAATCTCTTCTTTCTCACATACCCTGGCCATCTTGGAGTATGCATTCTGCAACAGATTTGTGCAGGACTCAACGATTGTTGCACAAGAACCTTGCGAGCCTTGTATGTTGCACTTTGCAATCATGTGCAAGACAAGTTGTAAGGTGTGATAACAAGCAAATTAATTACACTACATCTCTCATTTCTATTTATTCGCCACCAAATACAAGTTAAATACGTAATGGAAAGAATTGACACTATTTTCTGAAATGGTCAAATGGATGATATCTCCTCTACGCCGTTGTCCCTCTAACTGCATAAGTCCTCTCATCGTTAGCCTGCATGGCAGGCGGTCTAAAATTTCCCAGGCTTGCCCAATTTTAGGAACCGCCTGCCATGCAGGCTATCTAATCGTATGCTTTTCAGTTTAGTCTTCTCCTTTCTGTTGTGATTGTGAACATTGTCTGAAGGTAGAAATCTCCCATACATCACGACATGTCAATATCCTCACCTACAAAGAATAACATTAAATAAGTTAGCATATGAAGTAGTTCTCGAGTAGCTGAAGACGGAGTTTGAACAAGTCCTAGGATAGACCATAGATCACTTCCATGGATTTAAATATTCCTTTATGCGAATATTAATAAGACTTCCCAGCCTCGTTCAGATTCTATATATTAAAGCCTAGTTTACACCGTATCGACGTTTCTGTAGTCACATGCATGCAGTAGGAATTCTGCATGAGTAAACTCTAAGTTTTGAAGGATTTGCAAGAAATGTTTGGAGGGAACATTGTTAACACGGAGTAAGTTCCCTCAAATATTTCTTACAATTCCTTCAAAACGTAGAATTGACCGATGCAAAATTTCTAGTGTGATCACAGAAACTCTGATAGTGTAAATCAGCCTTCAAATTCTATTCAATTTTAGTCACGGAAACGAGATCAGGAAGCCAATTAATATATGCACATAAAATAATATTAAAATCCGTCTGTATTGAACAACATCACATTCATTATATACAATCCGAAGATTAGCATTTTGTAACCCACGATACGAGTTAAAAATAAAACGATGAGAACGAGTTATTTCGTGATATTTTGATTTCATTGCAAAATCATCATCAGACTAACTGTATGAACTAAAATCAAAATATCACGAAGACATTCTCTTGTCGTAAATCATACGAGGATGAGAGTTGGCAGTCGCGCATTGTTATGGGGACATTTCAAGGCAATCAAGTTCTAGATTAACAAAATAAAGTTTTCATGAGTGTTTCAACTATGTTTCAACTTAAATAGAATCCATGATAGTGTTGGGAAAGCATTAAGAACAGCTAACCAAGATCGCGTGACTTCCTCGTTTCATCGGGGATCTAGACTCTAGTAGCGTGCGTTGGAAGATGCCAAGCCGCGTCAACTACGTTCGTTCTTATCATGCATGTGCCGAATCTAATGCAACTGACCAAAACTCGTTGCTTGATCATTTGCATTACAGTCATTACGTTCATGGCGCATGAATAGTTACATGGATAAATATACAATGCCTAATCTTCGAGGCTGTTTCTTTTATGTTTTATTCTGATATAAATCATGAGGTTATGAGACAAGTGAAATTAAATGCACACCAAAATATATCCCTCGCCTTTGGCTTTTGTCATAAATCTGACGACCTATTCAGAGCAAAAGGACAATGCTTATTCCTCGGATTTCATCCCAGATAACTTTTCCTGTTGTTTTAGTAAAAAATTACACAACTATACTTGTGAGTTTCAAACCGATTACAGTTGGAAATTTTTTGCTACTAGTCAATTTCTAAGCATGGCTAAGCTCTCTACCAGAGTATTGACTGAGAACTGAATATATAATTTGGAAAGCAAAATTTCTATTCTTTCCTGCAATATCTTAGCCCAGATTGCCATTATACAAATTATCTCACTCATAAACATATTACAGCACAAGACCGAATGAAAAACACTGCACTTTCTATACAGGCAGCTGATCATCTTTTATCATAAACTTTGACCAAAACAGCCAATATGGCGACATGATACGAACACATTTATATCTTTGTCCGGTCAAAAATCATTTCTTGCCTAAATATTTACTTATGAGAACCCTAAAACTATACAACACTCCTTAATAGATCTTATATGAAAAAGACCAGCCAAAATAAGCCGTTCTAAAGCGAATGACTCGACAATAATAAAGGGCATACACATTTGGCGCCCATTTTACAGGTACCGGTAGACTGCCTTCTGTATATACAACTACAACCTTGAGAATGCTTTTAGATTAATATTCGTGGCAAAAATCTTCACAAAAAGATACACATAAATGCATTTCTAAACATATTTTGAACAACAAGAGTCAGCCCCTTTAAACGATGAAATAATTCGAACCTTTTCGAGTCTTTTGAATATAAGTTTGTTTTGGCGCCCCGTTCTTCATGACTGCTTCGAACAAGACGCTCGGGTCTCTTTGTGAGCAGAAAAATCCATTAGTTTTGTAACCGAAGCTACCTTCGAGCCACACAAATTGAACACAAAATACAGTTATATTTTGATTGAGAAAAATACGATGTTTGTCATTCGGATATATGTTATGGATACGGCGTTGTTTGGTCAAAATGGAAATTGTGGTTCGGTGCTTAAGAATAATATATGGGAACTCGAATTTAAATGAGGAAATTTGTTTCTATTTGCATACATCAAAGCTCCCAAATAAATTCAGTGCGTGTGATTATATATGAATGTACTTAAAAGTGAAAATCTCATTCGAATTTCATGCTTTACGCTCAAATTTCTTTGGCGAACGAAGAAATTTTTATTCTTCGGAATGTTACAAGGGCGTTCCATAATCGTTTCGAACGCGCCGAAAGCATTCTCGAAGCATTATGCCGTCAAAATCGAAATAAAACAAGCAAAACAGCAACCACATTTACGATTCCCTGACCTTACAGGGTAAATAGATTTTTGAATAAAAATTACAACTAGTTAGATAAAATAAAAGCCAAGCATAAGTATATCTGTTCGGTAACTCTACAGTCTTCGTTCACACGGCCATGCTGTCTTCATTGCCGAACGTTTTCAAACTTGTTCTAATGCATTGTTCTCATTCGATCGAACTATTCGCGCAACTAGTAGCAAGCTTAACAATACAAACATGACAGAAGTAGAGGAAAACCCCTTGCTACACACTATAAATATATATTTACAAAGTTTAGTAACCCAAGTCTAGCTTCAAAGCAACGAAAGCTTTAAAGGCGACACCCAATGAAGCTGAATGCTTCGTTGTAAAATAGTTCCCAATTGTTCGTGTTCTTTTAGAATAATTAACGTTCGTTCTAATCTTATTCTAAAATACCAATTTTCCCCCTAAGAGTTCCCTTGGGAGGCGAGATAGTTGTTCTTCGTGACAAATAAGTTCTGTTCACATGTGAAGTCGTACTGAAAATATATGTACGTATAGTATCACACACTGTTCGGTACGGGCATTTGGTGAGGCATTATTACACTTTGTGGAGAATGTAAACCGCCGTCTTCAGGTCGAATGACGGCCGAAGTCATTCGTTTTTCTTTCTGTCTACGATTACAGAACCAAACTCTCACGACTTCTTTGTCAAGTTGAAGATTATGGGCGAGTTGTTGTATTTCGTTTGCGTTAGGTTTCGATTGCTTACAGAAATGGTTTTCTAACGCTCCCTTCACTTGAACATCGATGCTCGTTCTCTTCTTACGTTTTCGGCCAGTGGCTGCGATTTTATCCGTATTTGTCGGGGCTCCAGTCGTGTTATCAGCCTCTTGTAGCCATTGCTGGAGCAAAGGTTTAAGCTTGCACATATTCTTGAAACTCAATTGCAGTGCCTCGAAGCGACATATTGTTGTTTGACTGAATACATTTCCGAATAGTGTCCCGAGTGCAAGTCCAACGTCAGCTTGAGTAAAACCGAGTTTTATACGCCGTTGTTTGAACATTTTAGCAAAACGTTCCAAGTCATCCGAGGTTGGGGTATTATCGACTGAGAGAGGACTTTGCCCAGAGGATAACATACCTTGTGTCACTGGCGTTATAGTGAGCTGACTTTGATCTCGGATCTGTGGAGAGCCCGGGTGATTGGGAATTTGGAGAGTTGTCGATTGTTGTACATTGCCGTTCAGTGTTGCAAAGTTCACATGAGGAGAGAGAATGGTTGGGTTGATTTGAATTCTCGTGTGTTCTCCAGGCGTCATTGGAGAGTGCGAGATAGTCGTCCAACGTGCTTGATCGATAATCACGTTGCCGTTTGCGAGAGGTCGTTGATTCTGTTGTATAGCCATAGGAGTCGTCGTGATAATACTGCCATCCTCTCGTATCACTGGTTTCATATCTGCTACTGTGCTTGGAACTACATTAGGCCAGCCAATGGAGTTCCCTTGTTGATCTGTGACTACCCACTGTTGTGGAGTGATGAGGGTTGTATTTGGAGTCGTAAGCGTGGTCAGAGATGGCGCGAGTCGACTCTCGATTATCTGTGAAGACTGCGTTTGTGGACTTAAACTTTCGTATGACATAGGTTTATGTTCCTCTCTTATGTAAGCAATCGTAGTTGATGGTCCCATACTTGTCGGTGGTGAACTCATTCGCGTTTGATGCTCAGCAGCCGAGGATGTAATCACCGTCGTTGCATATGTATTAGGTACTAAGCTAACAGCCGCCATTTTCTGCTTAGCTGAAGTGTTCTTTATTCAATGAGCTTTGGAGAACGTTTCTGCCGGGTCCTGACGAGGCAACGTGTTTAGGCAGCATGTGATGGCATAGCGAGATCTGATTGGCAAATGTCGTGATGAGTGACATCTATTAAATGTTAATTTATCACTGGACACGCCCGCTCATTCACTGCGATTGGCTAGACCAAGCCACAACCAATCAGAAAACACAATCACACAAAGAGCGCCAAGGATATGGAAATGACGTTAAAGTCCTAGTCTCCGATTGGTCAATCCGATTCGGCATTCATTCTCATTGCAAAAACTCATTACCCGAATTATAAATGAGCTTTTGGGCTTTCTATTAGAAATGAAAACAAAACGTGAACACAAAGCATAATTCTGTTTTGCGCACTAAAAATATCCTCTATTTGTGTCGAATTCGAGTGGGAGGTTAATTCGCGATGCATTCCATTCTAATTGTTGTCTAGCGTAAACATACTGATATTCCACACTTCAACACATAAACGACCGTCGTAGAGTGTTTACACATCATTTTCCTAACAGAAATATCCAGAAAATTGTTCCGGCGTTTTGAAAAGGCAACGGAACTTAGGTTTATGTCATTAGCATTTTGTACACAGAAAAAAGTATGCAATAAATCTCTCTGGGACTTACGCTAGGAAGTTTTAGTATTCATAATCCGACAGCTCCCACGTGTGTGTAAAAAATTCCACTCCGGAAAATATGCTGATAAAATAGAATCATACGAACCCCTACTGTAGTACACGTAGACTATAGTTTTACAAATGCAAGAGCAATAGGTTTTATAATACCCATGTCCTACGAGCTGAATTCGCGTTTTTTCCCTTGTTCGCTATGAGTGGGACTTGGGTTGTTGGTAGCACAAAATTATCTTATGTTTACTGTGAATAATTAGCCAAATTTTGCTCCTTTGCTTTAAGACCAAAGGCCAACGAGAAATTAGTGCTTTATATTTCAAATAAATCTACTGCAACCTGTATCGCATCTGAAATCAAAATATTATTACTAAATCTGGACAATATATAAATTTACTATTCCAATGTATCATGCTGGATATTGAATGTAAATATACAACTATACATATGGCGGCCATTTTGATAACCTATAATAGAATGAAACTGATTTGAGACCACACAATTGTACTGCAGAATCAATGCAGAATGCATGGATTAAACTGCATGATAGTATAAATGTCTTACGTAGACATAGAAGCTCAGAGAAACTAAAGGTTGACTATATCATTTAGCATACATCCCGTGTCTTTGTGTGCAGTGCAATGCATTTCATCACTTAAGCATGACAAGAATTTCAAAATATTTGCCTATGAATCGGCCTTTCCTATTATTATCAATGCTGACTATTTAATCGTATGAATTCCAGTATACCTTTCTTCAGTAAAGTTAGCAGGATTCCTGCTAACTTTACTGAAGAAATGTATATATATACCCAAAGCATTGGACCTTTCATTTTACACATGGCCTGGGCTAGCCCTAAGCTGAGATAAATCCATCACAAAAATGTGTAGAGTTAAGTTGTGAACATAGATATCAGTTTAATGCTGAAGAATCGATGCAAATTCATTGCCTAACTTAACTTAATTATAGTCGAATTGGCATATGACAGTTCTGCGTTTAAAGCACTGGCTTAAATGTTTAAATATATACTGCAGTCTTTTGGAACTTAGGGCTATCCCACTGATGGTAATTGTAAAAGCTTGTCGAGGCTGGGTCCTCATCTTCTTAATTCATGTAGTTCAGAGTTCAGACACAAACCATGGAAGCTTATTGAAGAATACTACCTTGGTTACAATTGAGTACGGGACCCCCACGATTGAGAAAGCGTAAATGCATATGAGCATATATTTTATAATTTCCAAATTCTTTCAAAAAGTACTTAAGCTTCTACGAGTAATGTATAATACTGCCTATGTATAACTTGAACTTCATTGCAACACTTTAGTTTAGCAGTATGACAGTTGTATGATTTTTTCTATAGGAACTTATCAGAACGATCTATTTGCTAATCTTATCAGGTCGACACAAGGCAAGGATGTCACCTGTATGAGTCACACGCGCTTGAAAAGATTACATTACAAATGTGTTAAACGTTGGGCTGTCCTTAATCCTAGCCGATGACAGTCGCCCTTCAGTAAAACTTAAAACGCACGCGGACGGATGCATAAGGTAAAACGTGTGCAAATAAAAGTCTGGGTTTCTAAGAGCCTTCCTTTATAAATGCATAAAGCATTTTTATTAGACATAAAGCATTATTGATGTTTTTTCTATAGAGGAAATATCAAAAGGACAGCGACAAAGGATCTTTTTTATTATTAAAAATCCGCCGTGCCAAAAACTATGTTTGTACTCTCGTAGAGGAAATAAGCAAAGCCTAGGAAAGGCAAGCCAAGCTTTTCAGCTCAAAAGATAGATCAAAAACAGCAAAACTTTCAAGCAATTAAGATTTTAATTTAAGCCTGGTGTGAGGTGAGCAAACACATCTACATAACTTTGACGCATTGAAGCGAGGGAAGCCCCTGCGACATTGACGCGGACACCCCGATAATCCTTTAGCTCAACAAGAAGCCGGTTAGAAAAATATGACGAAACCGTTTGGATTTTAGAAACAAGTTCAATAATTTTAAGGCAAGGTAGCTTGTGTAAGATAAAATATATGCCGTGTATCTGTTGGTAATCAATTCGAAAATGCGATATTTTGTACGTTTGGCTAAATCCACGATGCGAAAAATCACTTTTGTGTCACAGGAATGATAGTATAATTTTATCAGCAGGAATTAAACAACACCGGCAAAAGCGCTTCAAAATACATCGATTCGAAACGTTTATCTCTTCCTTTATATGAGTATACGCCTTCGAAAAACCGCTTCTAGGTTTGGAAACGAAAACGGAAAAAATTTGGCTAAATTTAAACAAAAAAATATTTTGGTGTATACGGGCTGGCGTTTGCTTGTCAGTAAACTATACAAGTTGAAGTAAAACAGAGCAGGCGAGAGTACAAGCGCTCTTGGCAGACGAAACAACGAAACGTGAGAGTTTGAGAACAGCTGAAATTTTCACGATTGCCCGACACTTATATTGCCTTTGTGTGTCTTTACGAATAAAAACGATCGAGGAAATCGTCTAAATTTTCAACGAGAAGCGATTTAGTAGATTTTGTGTGAGTAGAAGGTTGACGTAAGCGTTAACAGTCGATAGGTATCTTTTTAGACGGATTCTGGCGCGGAGACATGACAAGTTTTTGTCGAATTATTGAACAGCTGATATTTAGACTCATTTCTAGTTGGGAACACCCAACATTTTAAAATACATCGGAAAAGCTAGCTAAGTAGGCCAAAAGCATGAACAGTCACTTACGTCTAAAGTTCCATAATGTTCCTAGGCCACTCCGCGACATTTTGAGCGAGTTTCAAATTGAGGCACTCCAAACACGGCGAGAAGTGTTCACAGCAAACGGCTAAGTGAATTTAATTCAAATTACTCGACGATATATCATAAAAGAGAAGCCTAAGATACTTTGCAATTCACATTTGAAGAAAAATTTGCATCTATACATATACATAGGGTATTTGGAGTGTCACGGACTAAACCAGAACAATATTTGGTTTGGCTAACCGCGTGGGCTTCAGACTCTGAATTATGAAACGATCATCAATGAGGAACGAGGTCTCAAGGAAGGAATTTTCAATGCCTTTCAGAAGAACTAGGGCCTTGAAGACCTTCGCTTGAACTACATCGACATTTTTCCCATAATTTTCAGGTGGTTAGATCATTGACGTTAAAATCAACGAAAGTCGTTAATATTGTTGATCAGTGTCTACACTCGGGTCACAGAACCTCACATTTGATGACATACCCAGGTTGGTTCCATTCCAAACCACCAAAGCCAAGGACAATTTACAACACTACACAACTTTTTCCTAGACTGAACTGTCACATGTAACCTGCTTACAACTTGAGTTGTACTGTGTAAATCAAGCACACAACTTGCCTACGTTGTCATAGGTGAGTTGTGTGCTTGAGTTACACAGTACAAGTCAAGTTGTAAACAGGTTGCATGCGACAGTTTTAGGCAAAAGTTGTGTAGTGTAAATCCGCTTTAAGTGAGACATGAGTCTATGCTGGAAGGCCGCCATTTTCGGCTGGGGATTGGTCTTGGATACTGACTGTTGCGGAGAGTTTGAAAATCGGACGAAATTAGTACTCATTAGACATTACTGTAAACATGTGATTTTGGCAGGTTTAATACCTGAATTTAATATTATTGGGGTTAGGTATACGGTTGAGTATCTATAATCGATTCTGATAATCATAAAGTATTATCCTAAGAGTTCCCAGAATAAAAATTATAATTCTAAGAACATATGACCTAACACTAAAAATTAAAACCTTAAGAACATACGATGCTTGTTATAAGTTCCTATAACTGTTTTTCCTACAGGTTCAGTAAGGTCAATGATCTCTTATTGAACCTAGTGCACGCTACTATAGTATGGATATCAGGAAATCGGAGTGTCGGAAGAAAAGCTGCCTTGTGAAGGATGTCTGACAGTGGGTACCCTCCGGTTTTCCGCTTCAGTAACACTGGACCAATAGCCAATAAAGAATGAATCTGACTAACCTGACCTCTAGGAAGAACAGTTATGAACTGATAGAGCTATCCCGGATAAATAGATTAAAATGAATACTTGATATACCTTATTTCTTCACAAACTGCTCTCCTTTAGAAAATCTATGTACAATAAACTGCAGAAATTGGCAATGGGGATAACTATATAAAGCAAAATATATTAAATTAGATGATGGTACAATAAAAGGCAACATTTTATATACATGATTTATATGGCAATTTTAAATTATTTCAGTCAATCAAATTGCAATCAATTCAAAAAGTCAACCAAAAACTTTACTCTACTGATATAAACAAATTTGGGACATGCAAATTTGGGACAACGGGAATTGGCGATTCTGTAATATTTTATAGTTATTGAATGTGGTTATTGAATTTTGTTATCGGATATTGTATTTTTCTGTAATTTTACTTGGAAATCTGCTAATTTTATTTGAAAATCTTGTACATTGGGTGGGATTAAAATAGACGTACCAAGCTAAGGTGTTGTAATAGTTGCACAATACAAACGATTTGACAATCAAACCCTCGCTCCGGAAAGTCGTATGATCCCCGTGGTTAATTAGCAAGATTAATTTGCATTCCATGCGCGGGGTTCTATTTGACTAGTATTTGTAATGCCTTCCTACGGAGGCGAGATGTGTTGTTTAAAAAGGCGCGGAAAGGGTGGTCTGTTTACAAATATATTAAGATATCTTGACCGATCGATGTGGTGTCTGAGTGTCTCTTAATTGCATTTTATCAAACTGTCATCAGAGAAGCGCACATTTCCTTTTATTGACTCGCGGATGTTGCGAAGAAACATGGTTACTTGAGTGTGGGGCAGTTAAACAATGGGAAATGACCAGCCTGCTTTGCGCGCACTGTTTGCCTGCGAATCGGGCCTTTCAGAACCGGAAATCGGGCTGGAGCACGCGTTCGTTCTTTTGATTTGGCAATTGGCAATAAAACGAAGCTCGACAAATGGCAAAATTCGCACGGTGCGCGTTTGCAAAAACAACTGCAAACTGTTCTAATTCTTTCTGTTACTTTCATTTGATCTCATCCGTGAGTCGGCCTCAACTGCCTTTGCCTGCTTTTCCTTCCGTATTAGTGTACTGTACCAGAAAGGGATGGCTATTAATGATCATAGCACTATCCAGTATCAATAGTTAGGCCTGTTTTATATGTCGAATTTTGGTCGCGTCGAATGCAATTAAGACAATAGTCAATAGATAATGAGATGATAAACCTCATTAAGTTTCATTATCTATTGTTTGAATTGACCATTTGCGTAATAGACTAAATTTTGATCTCAACAAAAATTTCATCACAGCTTGAAAGAGCATCACAAAATTAGTAATATTCCAAAGTTTCGTTGCAAAATACGAGATGACTCTTACTAGACATCTAGGAAGAACAATTTATAACTGATCATAAAGCTATCCAGTGCAGAACCAATACGAGATGGTTTTACTGTACCTCTCAGGAGAACTGATATAGTTATCCAGCAAGAAGTTAGCCTTAGTTTGGTTTTAAGAACACGTCCAACTACAGGGTGTCCCCAAAAAAGTGACACTATAGAAATTATCTCATTTTTATAATTTGAATGCCCTAGCACTAAGTTGATCCCACAGGTGCATAAACTTCTGCTTCTGGAATTTAAAATAAAAAAGCAAGCCGTTTATTAGTGTAATCGTTTTGCTTGACTCGGGCGTTAAAATATTTGGACAAAGCGAAAACGTTTTAAAATGCTTAAATGTAAATACAAGTTCATTAAATTCGCAGGCGTGTAATCACGCGCGTTTAAGAGCGGCTTAAGAACAATGAGATAATTTCTATAGTGTCACTTTTTTGGGGGACACCCTGTACAACTCAAAATCAGATTAACGCGTAGCCTTTGAAGTTGGCACATGCCCCGATCGATATCATACCAATGTCATCGATCGGATCGTGTGTCGTCCACGTAAATGTGTTTCATATAAGTTCCTATCTTGTTAGATATAACATCTTGTTGGGGTGTAAAGATGCACGTGAACAACATCATGGAACATGTGGATACTATCATTACAGTCTGAATAAATTCCTCTCGAAATGTTTCCATCTTGTATTGATATTTGAGATCAACACGCAAGGACGTAGAGAAGCATCTGAAGTTGGGGGGGGGGGGGCGGTCCAGGACTGCATTTCTGGCGTTTTCCAAAGAAAATTCGCAAACGAATTGCATCTAAAGTGAATCTAAAGGGAGTTTACGATCTGCGACGCGGCCGGTTCAACGCCGACGCGCTCTAAATTTTAGCTCAAGAATGAGCGCTAAGCAATTCGATTACTGTAATAAATATTTGACTCTTTCAAATAATCTTACAAAATGCTACGTTCGGCTAAAGCGATGCAATGCTTGCTGTAATTTCGACTTTAAGTAACACCTCTTGTGTCGCATTAAAGCCTGCAGCACACGAGAGCTATCTGCTGAGCCAAAAGTTACTCGTGCCTGTTAGCTCAGCCGATAGCTCACCGATAAAACATGTTTGATACGTGATAAAAGGTTGCATGAGGCAAAAAACTCAGTAAAATGTACCCGCACACGGTGAGCTATCGGCTGAGCTAACAGGCACGAGTAACTTTTTGCTCAGCAGATAGCTCTCGTGTGCGGCAGGCTTAAGCTTTCGCGTTGCCTGAAAGACGTAATAATGCTTTTTTAACGTTATGTTGAGAATGACAACGTGGTTGACAATACTCATGGGACCACAAATTATTGACAGTTTTTGTCTTGCATGACGAATTTCTTTGTAAGTTCTTTGTATGTTTGCATGGCGATGAAACACATAATACCATTGTTTGTGGAAGCACCAAATTTCTTTGTTTTGAAAGCGCGTCGTCGAGCCGGCCGCGTCGTAGATCGTAAACTCCCTAAAGTCTCTAATACGAGATGACAGAATTTCGCGAGCTATTAAGTGATGTCCATGGCTAACTCCGAATTCAAAAACGTCAAATTTTGCTTCAAAACTGCCTCAATAAGTCTTTCTTCAAAGTAATTTTAAAATCCTGCATGCATTGACCATAAGTAAGAGGGGTATGAAGAGTCTGACCTCTCCCATATGACCTCCCATAATCTCACTCCCGATGTCGTTTATGTACTATTTAAAACACGAGAAGGAGTGTTTTATCATCGTCACAGATCCCGGAAACCAATCCAAAATACTCCTACTTCACCTTCTCAGATATTGGCCGACATAGGTCATATTTCATGCATATTTCAGAATATTTACCAGGAAAATGAAACACTTTCCTATGAAATATCAGTGTACGGTAACTGTTCAGAAATCATCGTTTAGACTTTTGAACACTTGAATTTGACAAAACTTGGTATATGCGGTGATTTAGAGATTCAATAAGAATTCATCATGGTCAACATTGCGTTTGTTTACAAATGCGGATCAATTGTGAAACAGGAAGTCTTGAAAATATTGCTCGTTGTAGTGTTTCTGACTTTGGGTGAGTTCTGTTATCAACATTATTAGCGACGGTTTGTCAGTGACATGGTTGCACAATAGTTGTGACAGTCAGGACATTTGTCTTTCATTTCTGTGACCGGGCTCGAAGTTTATAATTTCGAGTTCTTCTAGTTGGGGGAATGGATCTAATGACCAATGACCAATACAATAGATCATAATTTAGACATTGTCCTCGCTCTGTTTACAACGCCAAATCACAGATTTTCACGTCTTGATACAACGGCTGCATTTCAAGCCGCAACAAGTGCAACTTCAAACTGGGTTTAGCAGAACTCTTCCCAACATAAAACCCATGTCTTCAACTTCTAAGACAGTATTAAATTCATACGATTGATAATATACGACGAATTATCTTTACTACCATTTATTTGAAGGAGCTTGTTTTGGCCGTCGCCGTCCTAAAATCGTAAGGTCTCTAAAGCCGTGTTTACACTACGAGCCTAAGCCTGGCCTAGGCCTACCTTTGGACTAGATTTTTGTAGTGTAAACGTACTTCAGCCTGGCCTAGGCCAGGAAATCTGGACCCATCAGAACAGGTGGCCTAGATTTCCTAGCCGGGAGTATCTAATTGGAGCGGGTAGCGGGTCGCGGGTAAAAGGAGCGGGTCGCGGGTAAAAGGAGCGGGTAATTAAAAAAGGAGCGGGTAAAAGGAGCGGGTAATTAAAAAAAGAGCGGGTAATTTCCCAGGTGCTAAGCGCCGGTGAAGAATTTTAAAGAAAAAAAAGACATTCTTTTATGAAAGTGTAACAACATGAGGACCATTTTTACTAAGTGAAACTATTGACTTCACATAAAAAATCTCGAAAATTCTATCAAATGTTAAATTGACAGATATTTAACAGCCTGAACATGTCTTATTATGACGTGCTGAAAATACGTACACACCAGCGCAACGTTTTTAGGTCACCAAATGGACAAAAAGTATTATAACATGTACAAGTGCTACTCAAAACTCTACAGTCTGTCTCGGCTATTGCCTCACAAAACTGTGGTTATGCATTACTAACTCTATGGAGCAAAGGAAAATATAAACCATTTTTTACTATAAATTTATCCGAATTTCAAGTTTTTATTAGCCATCCGGTTTTTTATATACGTACATGCCTTACGTACATGGCGGCCATCATGAGTGTCTTCAAAGGTGGCGGCTAAGTTATCTTTCCAGTTCCCTTAAGCCCCGTTTACACTACGCTCAATTTTTGGTACCGTACCACTCTTTTGGTTCTTACTGATTTTATCCGTGCCGTACCAAAAATTGAGCGTAGTGTAAACGGGGCTTTAGAGTTCACTGGTTTAAACTGAACGTGAGCGCCTTATTAAAACACCCTGTGTTTGGAAACTTTTGCTCTATTGTACGTGTAGTCTAAAAATGTGTATATATGCTACACCACTATCAGTTTCTGAATAAATCCAATGGTGTTCTGCAAACCTAAACCCTAACCGTGCAAACCGCGTTCAATATGTTCATAGTTTTCCACAGTTTGGTGAGGCAATAGCCGAGACAGACTGTAGAGTTTTGAGTAGCACTTGTGCATGTTATAATAATTTTTGTCCATTTGGTGACCCAAAAACGTACGTGCGCTGGTGTGTACGTATTTTCAGCACGTCATAATAAGACATGTTCAGGCTGTCCAATATCTGTCAATTTAACATTTGATAGAATTTTCGAGATTTTTTATGTGAAGTCAATGGTTTTACTTAGTAAAAATGGTCCTCATGTTGTTACACTTCCATAAAAAAATGTCTTTTTTTTCTTTAAAATTCCCCACCGGCGCTTAGCACCTGGGAAATTACTCAAATTACCCGCTCTTTTTTTTAATTACCCGCTCCTTTTAACCGCTCCTTTTTTTAATTACCCGCTCCTTTTACCCGCTCCTTTTTTAATTACCCGCTCCTTTTACCCGCGACCCGCTCCTTTTACCCGCGACCCGCTACCCGCTCCAATTAGATACTCCCGAGTTTACCCGCGACCCGCTCCTTTTACCCGCGACCCGCTACCCGCTCCAATTAGATACTCCCAAATGAAAGTCCCTTGATTGTTGCATTTGAAACATTTCTTGATTTTGGTGTTGTTGTTGTCGTTGCATATCCAACATGTCGTGCAGGAAATTTTCTGCTAATTCTGAATCATCTTGGCTTCTACCCTTTGGAATTCCCGAGTGTCCAACATCTGCAGACCTTGATTTTTGCCCAGTTGACTTCATCTGTTGTTGGAGATACTGGGGAGTATTGTTACTAATGCGTGAAGGCTGTGGATATTCATCAGTTGGAAGTTGTGGCAGTTCAAGTGGACGCGTTGGTGGGTGGTGAAAATTTTCTCCCAAGTCGGCCATAGCATAAACTCTCTCTTCTGCTTCGGCCTTTGCAATTTCTGTTTGTAATTGTAGCTCATGCTTTCTCTGTTTAAGACGCAGTCTCTCTTCTCGATGCTGTTGTTCAGCCAACTCTTGATGTTTCAATCGAAGCTCCTCTTCTTCCAGGGCTCGATGCTCGTCTAAAGCGGCTGCCTCAGCTTTTAACGCTGCCTTCTTTGCTGTAGCATTTGCCATACTGCTATGAGTTGATGCTTCGGTTTTCCGCAAACTTACAACAGAGTTTCTTGTTTTGCTTCGATTTTTGTATGCGATGTTGCTCGCTGAGTTGCCGGACTTTACATCGTATTCTAATGTTCGATGTTCGGTTGAAAGACTTGTAATCCATTCTTCTAAAGTTCGCTGAAAATTCTCGATTCTCCTAATTTCTATTTGCAGATACTCGTGGGAGTCCTTGAGATCATATTCGTCTTTGATTCTATCATGATAACATTCGTGGGCGACATAAAATTTATTCACAACATCATTAAATTTGTGTCTTTTGTTTCGGGCTTCGCTTACATCTTGTAAGTTCAATTTTAATTCAGTTAGCTCTTTAATCTTCTTAGTAATGTTGCCTTTTGCAGCAGATC